AGATTGTTATTAATATTATTATTAATTCCACTACCACCACCATGACCACCAACTCCATTTCCACCTCCATCCAAATTTCTTAAAACAAGTTTTTCATTAATATTCCATTTATTCAGTATTGTGAATACAACATGCTCATGTTGCTGATTTGTCATGAACTGCTTTGAATATCTTTGTTGGTTGCCTTGGCTTCCGTATATTTCTAAGAAATATTAAAACATCAATATTAGGTATTGCAATAGAAAGAACAAAACTCCTCACGGGAAATTCGCATTATATATGTCATCAACAATTCAAAAAAAAAACATACCTTTTAGTAAAACTCCTGCAACAAGACACCACAAATCATTATGAGCACCCTTGCTCAACTGATAAGCTGCCTTTAACATCTTCTCCGCCTGTTCGTTTTGCGTGTGGTAAAATAACGTGCCGAGCACCGCAAGTGCTATTGCTTTTAGTTGGTCGTTACATAATGTGGTTGAGAGTTTTAGAGACTCGAATAAGTGGTCCCTTTTAGTATTTATCCAAAGATTACAAGTTAGTATGTTATCATATGTAATGAGATATAATATAAAAATACCTTGTTCGAATTATGTCGTTACTAGCCAACGCTTCTAATATGTGGAACGTAGACTTCAGGCTGTTTACATTACCATTCTCGACCAGTGATTCTTGACGAATTTCGTTTAGAATAGTTTCAATCTGAGCAACATAACATTTATTTCGTTAAATATGATTGAATAAATTCTAAACTCTAAAAATAATTATACTTGCATGTTCCTGATTGCTTGTTACCGTATTTCCAAGTTCTATTAACACGCGATTAATTTTCGCAAGAATTATTAATTCTTTGTTGGTAGTGATCTTTTTAGTAGAAAAATGTATTTTATGTATTGGTAAATTAGATAAGAATACAGATTAAGAATCTATTTTTGCGTTTGGTTTCCCATCATATTTTTTAAAGAGATGTATTACTGTTGCAATGCTATTCTCCATAAACCAAACAGCAATAATAGGAATAAAAGTCAAATAACGATATTAAACGACGATTACTTTCTCCACAGCCCGATAATAGTTCCTAGCTTCGATCACTTTACCCACACTTTGATTCAGTAGACCAAGTGCGAGTGTAATGCTCGCTTCATAGTGTTGCAATATCGAATGAGTCGTCGTCCAATTAATTAATGTGGAAAGAACCTTATTTAATATGATTTAAATTTTAATATTCGAATCGTGTCTTTTTTGTGTTTTGATTAGGATAAGTCTTACTTTTTCGGCATCGTCAAATTCAGATTTTAGCAAGTGTACATTAGCCAGATGCAGTAACATGTACGCCTTCAACTGAACATAATTTCTTTTGGTCTGTATCAAAGCTTGTAGCTCGAGATTATTTTCTTTTTCGTGGTTTGGAAGAACAATAATTAATATTTAACTTAACGATTATCCAGTTCGATAAAAAATCACGAGATTAGCTAAAATTATTTACCATTAGACTCTATCTCCTCTTCGTTAAAAAAAAACAAGCGATAAATAAAGATTAGCAAAAACCCTAGTAAATATAAAAGAAAAAGAGACGAAGTGAATTCTTATTACTTTCAACAATCTTTAATCCTTCCGTG